GAAGCGGGTGGCATGGACGTTTTTCTGTCGAAGTACATTGTCTTTTCCCTCCAGGATCCAAATCGTACGTACGGACTTGCGGTGCCAATCCAACGCATATTTTCAAATATTAAAAGGATGTGTTTACAACTGATCTCTATAAAATGATTAAATATACATGAGGGAGAAACCTAACTGTGTTTAAGTACAGGAAGAGAGGAAAGATGTAAATTTTAGGCGATGCAAACAACATGACGGAAAGTAACAGCTGAAAATCGGTAAAAACACTTTTTAGTAGTTTAATGTACACAGATAGAGTAGAAAACTCACCAGTAATGAAACTAGGGCTAATTTTCTCTTGTCTGACGCCATTTTCTGGTGAACGCGTCTGTTTTCTCGAGGATCTAAACGTAATACGAAAAAGATATTAACACACGTGATGTAGTTAAAAGAACAAACGAAATTTAGTTCAAAATAGCCAGGATGTGCTAATAAACGAACTAAGATGAACTTACGCTAAGTAAGCAACCAAGTGTTTATATATATCATAACATTTCTTCTCCGTTTGAGATTAAGAACAAGCCTTTTGCAGAGCAAATACACTGTTTGAAATACTGCAACTTGACCCCAGAAATGACTTTCCAGTTTAGAAACGATTTGAACAATATACGCCCCCTAGTTTAAATCCTCTTTGAATTGTAAATTGATCTTCATAAGCGGATCGCTTTGAAGTAGAGAACAAAAGCAATATTGAAAGACATCAACCTTAAATAGAAATCTGCCATATTATTGACAAAGAAACCTACCATTCGCGGCGACAATGACTTGGAAAATTCCAGTTTTAAAATTAGAATTTTGATTTTCAATGTACATATAGTAGCTTTAGTTCTTTACCTCTTTTCAGTTCTTTAGAAACCATTCATAAAATAATGAGGAGAAAATTTAATAAAAAGTTTTCACAACGAAGGAAGCTACCTCATTTTAATTAAAGAAAGTCAATAAAGCAGTCGAACTCCAAACGAAAATGCAGTAAACAGTTTTGTGGTCTGTATAACAATATCCAGGAAGTTAAATGATCTTTAATAAATGTGACGAATTTATAAGGAAAATTTTAGTATTGAAATATCCTAGAGTTTTAGGTTTAATGTTTTTTTTTTCAACTGCGTGGAAGTAACCATTTCAACCTTAAAAATATTTGTCAATTTAGCTCGTGTCTTAATAAAAGCCATTCCGACAGTTTTTGGTGGAAATTGTTCCTAACCGTTAGGCGGGATTAACCATTTCCGTTTGGATAGCCACGATTGAAAGATGATTGGAGGATATTAATGGACTCTTTCAGATGGAAATGGCTGTAGAAGTGTTTGTCTCGGCAAACTTTAACCACATCAGCTGTCAGTGATAAAGTTTGATGACGGTTGGGAAAAGTAAATCAACTCAAACCGCCAACCGATAACGGGGTTTCTCGATAGGACACGAAAAACCCAAACAGTTACAGTAGATACCATACAGTTGGTCGACAAGACTGATTACACTGTGAACCAGGGCAAGTGCAGAAAATTTCGTTTTACAAATAATATTTAGAACAGCTTTTCCTTTTTTGACACAAAACACGATGTAGTTCACCGTTATCTTTTATTATTTCACACTCTGACTGTAACGACTCTCATGAAGTACGCAGTAAGACAGATCGCCTCGATTATGTTTTTGCTTTTGGTGACGTCAGACAACAGCCAGAAATCTGTCTACATCAATAAACATCGAATGGGTCAACTTCAACTACGGTACCGACAGTTTCACTAAAATCTGCTACAGTCGTTGGTTAAATTACTGCCATCGAGGCCTCACAAAATCAAACATAATTATGAAATGTAAATATTCAGACTGGGCCGATTCCAATAGCTCTGTTACTAGGTCTTAAAGTGAAGGTCGCCACGACAGAAAGGAGATCTGGCTAACCGTGTTCCCAGGATCCCACCGCGCGCCGAGAAGAGTCTAGGTACGAAAGTTCCAAGGGTATTAAGAGTGATGTAGATGTTGGTTAGGCCATTTCCAAGTTACCGCGTGCCTCTGCTTCAAAACGAGTCTTGGTGTAAAACCTTTCACATGAAAATGAGTTTGAATTACATGAAAATGAACCTGTAGGCGGAACTCATTTTCATATGAATGGCTTCGCACGAAGACTTAAATGGTCCATTGGTTTAGAGTAAGAAATAGCCCAATATCGATATGTTAAAATTCAGCCTAACAGAATAGACCTCGGCACGAGGCTCTGGGGAATGAACGCCACAAACTCTGTAGTTATTCCCCAGAGACTCGTACTGACGTCTATTGTTTTAGGCTGAATTTTGTTATATCGAAGTTGGTCTATTGCACTTCGCTATACGCAGTTTCGCAAGGATGAAAAACACTCAAACTCGATCGATCAAACGCTTATCAACCAAGCCGACTATAGCATGGACGCTAACTAAATTTAAAAGGTTCCTGCGGTGAGTAATTCCGGCCTTCGCTAATGAAAAATGTCCTTTCTAATACGATGTAAGAAGTAGCACCAATTTAACAAACTAACTTTAGAGCGATCCCTTGCGTAAATAAATGTTATTTATTTTATAGGGCAGATGACGTCACGGCAGCCGTGTTGGTCCTGTGGGAGTTGAACCTTTTTGTTATCTTAACACTTCCTTTTGATCCCATAAATTTGCTTGAGTGCTTGCCACGGGAGTGAAAACGCTGTATTGAAGAAGTTCATAAAAATAACTTTGTGAGGCAGAAAGAAACAAGATGGATTTTCATCGAACAACGCAACAATAACAAAGTGTAAAGAAATTATATTAATCTTTGTATGGCTAACATTCTGGAATAGGAATTACTAGTCAGTATTTGTGCGTTTCCAGTATACTACAAACGCAGGTGAATGCCTGCCAGTGAAGCAAGTCGGAGTTTTCAACATATGAGTAAATTTCCTACATCGTATTATACAACTTGGGAACATACCTCAACTACTAGCAGTTTGGTACCACGACTTGCAGAAGAACCACATGGTAACGGTACCGGAGCATTTGCGGTTTTTTCCGTGACTGTTTTTTATCGATGTGTTTTGTAACCTTTTTGCAGACAAGTTATCTTCAACGGAATTATTCGCCGATCTTGTTTAATCAGTTAGCAAAAAGAAAGAAGTGTTTTAAATGGGACTTTCAGCAAATGACGCACCTAAGTCTTTTGTCTAAAATAATTATCGACGGGTCTTCAATGCAGACCGAACTAACAGAAAGAGAGGCATTCATTTTCACCAGGCTAACAGACGTTTTCTGACTCATCTGAAACGCCGCAGCGTCTGGCAAAATGATGAAAGCGGGCCTGATTAGAAACTACCGTACGAAAAACCAATTAAAATTAATGGAAATAAATTTGTTTTATTGAGCTGCGCGAGGGGATTAGCAAAAACAAAGCGAAGGAGATTTACTAACAAATGTTAACTGGAAGAAATTAAAATCCCTTGTCATCTAGTAGTAAAAGATTGAAATGGTACATATCAGAAGCATTTATATATGATTCGATGTTAAGTAAAGGGTAAACTCTGAACGTTGAAGATAATTTTAAAATTAAACAAAATCGATGTTTTCATGGCAACGCATGAAAGCAGGATTCGTGAATAGCCCTTTTCACGGTTAATTTTTCTCATTTGCATTACAACGTAATCCAACGTGGATGCAAGGCAATTTCGGGCTAAAACTACAAAATAGCCCGAAATTGCCTCACATACATGCTAGATTTTATTGTAATGCAAATGAGCAAAGGTGATATGCTTCTGGTTAAAGATCGAGGTATTATTTTTGTAGGAGATTTTCTCTGTACCGCAAATTCAGTCATTTTTAGCTCACAAATTAGTGACAAGGAAAGTGAAGCGAAACAAATTTGCTAACGGTTTAATTTCTGTTTGTAAAACCTCTCTCTTCGGTTCGAAGTCAGTCTAGGCAACGTTGATGCAAGTAAATGGTTACGAAACCTGCAAAAATCTCTCTTTTCTATGTGTTTTCTTTTCTGGTTTTGCCTAGTTATGCACAAAACACAATGGGTCTTGAGATCTGTCCCTATAACTGGCCAACAGAAACGTTTGCCATTACGTCATTCAACCAAAATGTTAGAGTGTAAGTCAAAGGAATGTGCTGCGGAAATTCGAAATTTTGGCTGGGCTTCACCACCATTTCTCACTAAAATTATGCCTAAAAGCAAGGCTTGGAAAATCGTCAGATCTCTGACTCAGCGGGGTTGCAAAGTAGCACGTACATCCAATATTTACAGCTTGACTCACTTAAACTCCCTCTATCAGTCAACTTTTATGAACAACAAGCTTTAAGACAGAAACTCGATAAAAAGAAATAATATTCAAAAACGGTCTGCGATGTCTGTACAAAGTTTGTACTTTTGTACAAAGTGCTAAGTTTGGCCGCCGTGTTAATGGTGTACATGCAGAATTTCTGTGCAATATTCGTTTGCTCGAAAACCTTTTTATGACGAGCTTTTTCTCCCTCCCCTCGCTACTTGTTTTTTGTTATCGTTTCAACCTTCCAAGTAGATTTTCTTTCAACGCAAGCAAAAATTGACTACAAACCAACTAACGGCTTTCCCACGGTTTCTGACGTCATACGTTTTTGTTGTGGTCACACAGTTCAATAATTACTCCAATGTGAATTCAAGTTTTCAGAAGCTGAACAATCCACAATGCCTTGTGTCAAAGATGTTTGCTTCTTTATTAAAAGCACGCACCAGACACAACGTCTGTATACTGCAACAAACATGCACATACAAACTCGATGAATAAAAGATGTGTATTTTCCTTCGGAAGTTCAGCGTGAGCACGCATGTGATTTATGCTAACACATCTTGTGTTAGCACGTGAAGTCTCTCGAGACACAAGTTGGAATATATATAAGGAGTGAATAGGTTGATATATTCATCAAGTGCGACACTACTCGACGGTGCTTGTAGTTTTCTTGTT